GCCGAGTGGGCCATTAAATGGGCCACCGTGAAGTCTTAAGCAGGTCACGACTCACGAGCCTCAGCTATGCTCATGGGCCACTTTAACTTTAAGGCCACAGAAAGTCCTTTTTTTATTTTCATATATATACTAAGTCTGGCTTTATTCCACTATTAAAAAAAAACTAAGTCTGGTTTTATTAATTTTCACTAGCAATGAACCTGCGTTGCAACAAGAGCGATACTATACTCATTTTAGAACAAACATATTAATGACTCCTTAACTAAACAACAAGCGGAAAGAGAAAACAAGTAATATTAAACAAGCGGAAAGAGAAAACAAGTAATATTAATCTCTACACTTAGAACATTCATAACTATTCCGTCCACAGGTGCGACACCAAAACCGCCCGCTCCCATGCATCCTCGGGTGCGACACCAAAGCCGCTCGCTCCCATGCACCCGTGCGGCAACCGCCATGATCTCCTACGCCTCCAATCACACTTCCTCCGATCGGGCTCCTTCCAAATCTAGATCATCACGCGGAATCAGGAACCCGCTACGACAAAAGGAAACTACCCTCATCAACACAATCAATCCCATCACCATCGCCCCCAGGACCAATCACGCGAGCATTAATACATCATACGATCACCTCAACCTCTTGCGGCACTCACCACTTGCCCCAGCCCCCTTGCGCGTCACCCTCACCTGCAGTCTACCACTCGTCCTCAGCAACTGCATGGCCCTGAGCCAAAAGCCCGCGATCCGGCGCTACCTCGTCCGACGTCGCTGTCGTCCTCGAGCCAGCCTCCACGGCCACAACCGAATCAAGGACGCCGCCGCTCCGACGTCCCTGCACTACGGTCTGCGCCACAAACCATCCGCAACCACGACACCCTGCTCCATCACTGTCGTCGTCGAGCCGCCCTCCACGGCCACGACCACCACGCGGAAGCGAGGACGCCGCTTCGACGTCCCTGCTCTGCTTCACGGCGTTCTGCCGAGTTGGACATTAAATGGAAAAAGTTTACTTAACCCCCCACCTTTCATACATGGTCTACTTCACCCCCAACTATGAAACCGTCTATTTTACCCCCTGAACTTTCCAAAACCGTCTATTTTACCCCCGGCGGTTTTTGACAGCGGTTTGCTACAGTAACAGCGGGTTTGCTACCGTACCATTTGGTTTGAATTTCTTTTTTTATTTATTTTCGGTGATTTTTTGAAAAATCATAAAATGAAAAATCTAATTTTATTGGACTCCACATGAGTAGATCTACACAGTGAATATGTAATACGGTATATTTTAGTATAAAATTTTTACTGTAGTCTTAGATTAATTGGGAAATCTAATTTTGTCTGTAATTAATTGGAATAATTCATAGCTGCAGCTTCTATAGTCCAATTGTGGTGAAATTTTTATGGTACGCTAATTATTGTATGCTTGAACTATAGTAAAAATTTCGTACTCATTGGACTATGTATAACTTAGTTATAGATAAATTCTAATTAATTACAGATAAATTCAAACCCACCGGCACTGTAGCAAACCCGCTGTTACTGTAGCAAAACCGCTGTCAAAAACCGCCTAGGGGGGTAAAATAGATGGTTTTGAAAAGTTCATGGGGTAAAACAGATGGTTTTATAGCTGGGGGAGTGAAGTAGACCATGTATGAAAGGTGGTTCAAGACTTTTTCCGACATTAAATGGGCCACCGTGAGGTCTTAAGCAGGTCACGACTCACGAACCTCAGCTATGCTCATGGGCCACTTTAACTTTAAGGCCACAGAAAGTCCTTTTTTCTTTTCATATATATACTAAGTCTGGCTTTATTCCACTATAAAAAAAAACTAAGTCTGGTTTTATTAATTTTCACTAGCAATGAACCTGCGTTGCAACAAGAGCGATATTATACTCATTTTAGAACAAACATATTAATGACTCCTTAACTAAACAACAGGCGGAAAGAGAAAACAAGTAATATTAATATATTAAAAAAGAGAGAAGGAGAATTAAAAAACCACCGATGATGCTTAATCCCCTGCCTTATCCACTCGTAGGAGGGAGCAGCTAAGGCGTGGGACCTAGAGAGATGAAGGCAAACAAAGAAAATACTACTAGGCTGCATGATTCTTTTCGGTGGTCATTTCATTGCATAAAATAATGAAATAACAAAGAAAATATTACACGAAACGTCGCCGAGGTAGCCCCTTGCCTGCTCTACGCTTCCACTGCCCGCCCACCGGCGCCAAGCTGCGGATCCCCTTCCCAAGGGCCCCGCTCTCCCGCCGGCCCCTGCTGGGCTCCGGCCACGGCTGGCTGATCACCACGGACGAGGCCACCGACCTGCACCTCCTCAACCCGGTCACCGGGGACCAGGTCGCGCTCCCGCCCATCACCGCGCTCCACCACGTCGAGCGCGGCACGGACGACGAGCAGGGCGACCCCGCGTACCTCGTCTTCGAGAACAAAAACGCTACAATTACTCGAAGCTTCGATCTGAGATCGTCACGGAGCCGACGATCCTGGAGGTGGACCAGGCGCACCACTACATGTACTACCGGGTGGTGATCTCGCCAGCCCGTCCGCCGGGCGCGCCTGCGTCGTGCTGCTGCTGCACATGCCGTACGGCGAGATCTCGTTCGCCAGGATCGGCGACGAGCGTTGGACTTGGGTCGCGCTGGGCGGCGGCGGCAAGGGCCTCCCATGGACGGAAGGCTACGTCGACGCCATGTACAATGACGCCGATGGCCTGTTCTATGTGCTTGCCGGACTTAACGCCTCCATGTACAGCTTGGACCTTCACGGTCCTACTCCGGTAGACACCAAGGTCCTCGCCGGCTTGTCCAGAACGGTCGACAGCAAGGTCCTCTCCGGCTTGTCCAGATCGGTCGGCCAAACCATGTACCTCGTCCAAACACCGGCAGGTGACATCTTGCAAGTCTGGAGGGAGAGAGACTACGTCGACATGCTAACACCGGTGGTCCTTCCACCGGACTACGTGGACGACGGCGACATGTGTCACGACCCGTACACGAAGCTGGTCACAACTGACGTGCAGCTCTACAAGGTTGACCTCCATGGCCAGAGGTTGGATATGATCAAGAGCTTGCCAGATTGTTCATTGTTTCTTGGGTTGAATGGCTCCATGTGCCTTCCCGTCAAGGATTTCCCTGGTTTAAACTTTAAAGCCTGGTTGTGCTTATGTTACCGACGATTTCCTGCAGTATGTCAATATGTTGAAGTATAATCCCCGAGAAGGTATTTGGAGCATGGCTGAGCAAAGCATGTCAAGATTTGTTGATGTCTCGCCGGTTGTTTATCCTTGGCTAACTTGGCCATCTCCTATTTGGATAAAACCCTCCCTTTTCTAGTCAGTCGAGAATGGTAGTAAAACTTTGGTGCTTCAAACTGTGGGATCTTTACTGCTGCTGCATTTTTTACTTTTCTAACTCTTTTTTGAAAAATACTCACAGTTATATATACCTAGGCATCTTAAACCTGTCTTTGGACCCTAGAGTTGGCGCCATGGCCTACGGCGCCGAGGTAACACGTTTTGGTGCCATAGGTCATGGCGCCGAGCCTCAAGGCCTGGATGGCGTGGCGGGACAACATGGCATTGATGGGGCCAGAGCTCGGCGCCACGATTCACGGCGCTGGCACCGTGAATCGTGGCTCCGAGCTCTGAATTTTAACTCTAATCCTAATTTAGGGTGACTTCCACGTCCTAAAATTTACCATGACAGGGTCATATGAAAATTGGCTGCATTTTTACCTTTTTTTTTACTGGCTGCATTTTACTATGACATGTACATGTGGATATTTTTTTTAAAAAGGTATTTTTTCATAAATGGTTACTGTTGTATCACTGATAGATGGTCTAGCTTTTTATAGCTAGGATAAGGGCAGGCAATATCTGAGTACTGCTCAAGTACGGCTTACGGCTTCAGAGCCTCAATTAGCGATGCTCAAGTATAGATGTCCAAACAGTCGACACTACACGACACGACACGACACAAGTACGTTTAGGCATGAGCATGATGGGCACAACTAGCTAGTTGCGACGTGTTGTGACGTTTGTCCTACCAAGAGGACGGCCTACCCTTGTACCCCTTAGACGTTTCGTGTCTGGCTGCTAAACCCAATGGTCCGATAGCCCATTCTAGCCCACAATAACCAAATCACAACAAGAAGATCAGAAAAAATCAACAAAAATCACATATCCACTTCATGTTCATAGATCAATCAAAGTACACTCACACTGTCATGCAGATTAGAGATCACAAATCTGCAAAAATCATTCCGTCAAAAAAATCTGCAAAAATCGAAGAGCGAGGGGGAGCTCAGAGAAGCTCACTACCACGCTGAGGAACTTGAAGGGGGGCTTACCATGGCGTGCCGATCACGCCTTGTTGAGTGTGCAATGGGGCCAAATCAGCTTCCCAGGCCGCTCACCACATACCCGAATGGCCGTGCTGACGCATCCCCTACTCGCTTAGGGAGAAGAGTCACGACTGTCGAGGAAGCAAGGCCATGAGGAGGCTTGGAGGGGAAGCGACGCCTGGTGGCTTGGTAGCCTTGGGGGCAATGGTGGAGGAGCAGGCGGCAGTCGCCAAAGGAGAAGAACCCGGAGGAGGCTAGGATGAGAGTAGTGCTCGACGGCTCGGCGGCCTCAGGGGCGCTTGGTGGCCTTGAGGGCGATGGAGGAGGAGCAGGTGGCGACGTGGGTTTGGAGCGGCGTATTACCAGCCGCTCATACAAATCGATTTGTAGGGATGGTTGTAGTACCAGCCGCCCCTACAAATCGATTTGTAGGGGCGGCTACAGTACCAACCGTTCCTACAATACATTTTCCGCTAAAAAAATTCAAATTTACAATTCAAATTCGACCGGAACATATATTTTTCATGCACAACTCCATCATGACTTATCTTCTGTGATTGTACTGAAACTCAATGACAATACACATTTATTTATACCAGATTATAACAAATATTCCATGACAATACACGGTGCAAATTATTGTGCTTGCTGTTCATTTAAACTATGAGACTGCACATAGGTATATGAAAAGTAATATGAAAACCAATCTTCTCGTCCACTCGTCTGCACAGCGACCGCAGCATCAGTTTGGCTGATGACAGCTATGCTGATCTTTAGCCATTGCATTAGACTTGCATCGATGACAGCCATGCTGAACTTCTCGTCCACTCTTCTGCACACTGCCAATCCACATCAGTGAGAAAATAACTAATTAGTATAATAACCAAATCAAACTCCAAGAGTGAGGACGGTAAGGATGTCGACGTATCCCACTGTATTGTTTTATAAAGCATGTGTATGGGTTAGCATCGTGCCTGCAACGACCGATGCAAAGTGATTGAGACCTGAACAAAGGCAGCAATGGCATCTTGAGTAATCTAAATGGAAATGGTTCATTAATTTGGAAAAAAAAAATGGTCAGTATGGAACCTGCTCGATGCCTTTATTGTTCAATCTGCTGTAGACTATAATATAGCTAAGAATGCATGGGCAGGTGAGATTTATGTTATCTGTAGCGGCATGAAGGTTCTTTGAATTTTCCCACCCTATTGAGATAATAGCAGCGGAATCACAAAAGAACTATTTCTAGTGATAAAAAGTAGCATTTTATGAAAGCTTCAGGTAACCAAAACAGAGTAAAAAAAACACCTACTTTATACTGGTTCATCATATTCATGGTACCACGACAAGTAGACTCCCACGTACCTCATATGAAGTAGCCTAACACAGCTGTCAGGACTATCATCATATTCATGGTTCATCTCCTAAATCTTAATAAAGTTAAATTGTAAAAAAATCATAACGATTAGTTCATGGATTACTCAAGCAGTGCCTGTAAAAAAAAAGAGGTAGATATTTGACCCAAAATTCAATTTTTCAGCAATTCTACAGAAGCAACAATAGACAGGCAACCAGTCAGCAGGATACTAGTCCAAGAGACCAATTCACCAGCAAGGCAGTCACCAGATGGTACACCCAAGGTCCAAGTAGTAGTACTTAATTGTTTGACAAAAAAACAGACAACTTCCACTAACTCAACCAAAGAATAATGAATGCGAGCAAGTGGCAACTAAATACAACATTAAACCAATCAGAGACAGGATCTAGTGAAAGAGAAAGACAAATCAAGTGGCACATGATGTTACCTTATGGCAGCACCAATGATCATAGGCAGTGCACTGAGCTGGAACGCACGGCGTCGCCGAATCCCGTCGGCGATGGAGCCGCTGAAGAGGCACCCAACAAAAGCTCCTCCCAAGCAGATACTCACCACGAGCCCTGCACCCAACAGAAGCGCAAGCACAACTTGAGTATAACAAGTAAATAAACTGACCAAAACCACCAGAACTAACTGAAGAAATGCCCACATACCTTCAGCAAGCGTGTTGCCGGCAAAGCCAAGGTCAGCGGAGATGCTCTCCAAGGGCTCGTTCACCACCCTGCGTCATCACCATCACGGCACCAAATGAGCACGAGTTTCAGATGAGGGCAACAGAGCCATCAGAAGTGCTGAAACGTGGGCGGAAGGGCACGCACCCGGAGTGGTATCCAAAGAGGAACGAGGTGAGCGCGGCGACACAGACATGCAGCAAGGACATGCGCCACGACGGCCCCGCGCCGCCACCGCCGCTGCCGCTGTCCGTCATTCTCACTGCGGAAATGGAAATGGAAACGGAAACGGAAATGGGAAAAGGAAATGAGATTCAAATCTCGCCATAAATTAACCAGTGGTAAGAGGAACGGGGAAAACCCGAGCAGGGTACGAACTTGGTGTCTCGACGTCGGGTTCCATGGCGGTTTCCCTGGACGGCACGCGCTTGTAGACGGAGGAGTCAAGCTTCCACCGCATCGCCGCTGATTCCACAGAGACCAATAAGCGATTAAGCGATTCGGCCCCAGAGCCAGTGCAGCATGGGGAAAGGATTGGAGGGTTCAGGTGTCAGCCGCCGCCGCGCCGCGAGCCAGAACCCTAGCTCCGGCCCCGCCGCTGCCTTGGGCGCCGCCTTGGCCTCCACCTACTCCATGGCGTCCTCCGGCCACGGCTGCATCCCGTCGCTCCAGGCGGGCCCCTCTCCGACGCTGCGTGGGGGTGGGGACCGGATCTAGGCCCGCCGTGGCCGGATCTATCGCCGGCCACTGTGAAAATGGTTGGAACGTGATGCCCTCTCAGGCTCACGGCTTCGTGTTAATATAGTCAGGAAGAGCCCCTGGTGTGGCGGTACAACTTGTACAATAAGAAAAAGCTAACTACTTTGGTAACTCTAGATTACATCACAAGATTACATCAATCAGGAGATACCTATCCTATCTAACTGAAACCGTGATACTTGCCTTCACCCGCAATCCAAGCCTGAGCACACAACCAATCTTCAAGAGATATCAATCATATCAATCAACCAGATATTATGGTCACGTGATCCTATTGGATATTCTTAACATCACCCCTCAATCACAACTTATCAGTGAGGTTGAGATTATATCTGAACATGGCTATTTGCTTCTTTGGAAGAGGCTTAGTGAAGCCATCGGCGATCTAATCCGTAGTGCTGATGAATCTGATGTCCAGGCGCTTTGCTGCAACTTGTTCGCGCACAAAATGAAAATCGATCTCTATATGCTTGGTGCGTGCATGAAATACAGGGTTAGCCGATGGGTACTTTGCGCCAAGATTATCACACCATAAACATGCTACCAAAGGATATGGAATACCTAACTCATCAAGTAATTTTTGTACCCACATTACCTCTGCAGTAGCGTTGGCCAAAGACTTGTATTCAGCTTCTGTACTTAATCTTGAAACTGTAGGCTGTTTTCTTGCGCACCATGACACTAGGTTGCAACCTAGGAATACAGCAAAGCCGCCTGTAGATCGTCTGTCATCAGGGCAACCGGCCCAATCAGCATCTGAAAAGGCACTTACAAGTATAGAGTTAGATTTTCTAATTTTTAACCCTAGGCCGATTGTTCCTTATACATATCTCAATATTCTCTTCACAACTTTCCAATGAACGGCCGTCGGCGAGTGAAGGAATTGACAAACGTTGTTGACCGAAAAAGACAGATCTGGTCGTGTGAGGGTGAGATACTGGAGAGCTCCAACAATGCTCCTGTATCTGGTTGAGTCCTCAACTCCTAACCGAGTGCCACTAGTGACTGAAAGCTTTTTGGTAGTATTAAGGGGTGTTTTGACGGGTTTACACAGCTGCATATTAACTCTCTTGAGGATATCGGAAGCATACCGTTCCTGTGTCAAAAGCAATTCACCTTTCTTTCTTTGAACATGTATGCCAAGAAAATAGTGAAGGTTCCCGAGATCTTTGATTGCAAAGTCCTTCTCTAAATCTCGGAGAAGAGCATCCACTGCTTCCTGTGATGAATTGGCCACAATTATATCATCAACATATACAAGCATAAAGATGACATGATTTCCTTTCCGATAAAAGAATAATGATGTGTCAGCTTTGGAGGGAACAAAGCCTAGACTCTGAAGTTTACCACACAACCTAGAATATTAGGCCCGTGGTGCTTGTTTTAAACCATACAGGGATTTGTCAAGTTTGCATAAGTGATGTGGTTTGGTCTTATCTTCATAACCTGGCAGCTGTTTCATGTATACCTCTTATTCAAGGAAACCATGCAAGAAAGCGTTCTGAACATCAAGTTGCCTCAAACACCAATCCTTAGACATAGCTAGAGAGAACACAAGACGAATTGTGGCTGCTTTCACAACAGGACTAAAAGTATCCTCATAATCAACGTTGTTTGAACCCCTTTGCTACTAGGCGTGCCTTATATCTGTCAATTTTCCCATCTGATCTTCTTTTGATTTTATAGACCCACTTGCAATCTATCACATTTTTACCTTTTTGAGGTGGAACTAGATGCCAAGTTTTATTCCTGATCAATGCATCAAATTCAACATCCATAGCACGCTTCCAATTATTATCGACTAAGGCATGTTGCAAATCAATAGGACCTTCAGTGGTGGCTACTAACTAACCATATCGAATAGTTCCATCAGTGTAAATTTTTGGTTTGCGTATACCTTGTTATAGATGTGTGGTGGGTCGCTGGAGAGCCGGTGCTGCAAGCGATGTAGAAGATCCGGTGGGTTGATCTGTGGCTGGAGCAGAAGATCCGGTGAGCAGCGGACCCAAGGGAGATTCTCCACCATCGGTTGAAATATCATGTCCCCCGTCCATGGAGCTAGGTGAGGCGAGTTCGAGATAGGTGGCACACGCGGAGAGGATGCCGGTGTTCGTCACGAGCGCAGGAGCTGACGACGCCGGATCTAAGACCTATCCTGTCGGCTCCGTAGTGGAAGGTGCAGGTGAATCAGCCTGGGGCTCACCGCCTGTTCCTGCCAAACCGGGAAATTGCTCGTGGAGCATGAAATGACGCCCGTTTCCAGCCAGATTTAGTTCGTTTGACGCCGAATTTTTTTCATGTGCTACATGCTTAGACATAGGGTTAGTATGTAGGGAATCATTATCAAAATGATCTGAAGAATTGTCGTCCCCAAAATCATGTGAAGGATTTGTCAAAGTTGGAGGAAGGAGGAGAATTTCATATCATAATCGAGCACCGGCGTTTGGGTGGAGTTCGGCGAAGGGGAAGACGTGTTCATCGAAGACCACGTCTCGGGAAATATAGACACGCCCTTCATTGACATCCAGACACTTGAACCCCTTGTGTATGTTACTGTATCCTAGGAAGACACAGCGTTTGGGGCAGAATTGCAACTTGCGAGCGTTATAAGGCCGTAGATTCGGCTAGCATGCATAGCCAAAAGTACGAAGAGAGGAGTAGTCTGGTGTTTGATGAAACAGGCGTTCAAGAGGAGTTTGGTTATTGATAATTTTACTAGGGAGGCGATTAATGAGATAGGTGGCAGTAATGAAAGCTTCATCCCAAAATTTTAAGGGCATAGAAGCATGGGCGAAAAGCGAGAGACCTACTTCAACAATATGGCGATGTTTGCGTTCAGCGGAGCCATTTTGTTGATGTGCATAAGGGCATGAGACATGATGCGAGATGCCAATGCGCCGAAAGAAGACATTCAACTTTTGATATTCCCCTCACCAGTCAATTTGCATAGCGAGAATTTTTCTATCAAATTGGCGTTCAACCATAGCTTGGAATTCATGAAATTTTTGAAAAAACTTCAGATTTATGATGAAGCAAATAAATCCATGTAAACTTGCTGAAATCATCAATGAAGCTAATGTAAGAACTATTTTTGCCAACAGAAGTGGGCGCAGGACCCCATACATCAGAAAACACAAGTTCTAAGGGACTCAATGAGATACTCGTGGATCTAGGATAGGGTAGCTGATGACTTTTGCCCTTTTGGCAAGCATCGCAAACAGTTTATTTATTCAAATCGGCAACAAAGGGAATACTACTTTTGCTAAGGACTTGCTAAACGACTACAAAAGAAGGGTGGCCGAGACGACTATGCCACCTGAACGAAGGAAACTTGACAGCACCAAACGCCCCTTTATTCGATGACGGCCTAGACTTCAATGGGTAGAGGCCGCCTTCACATTCCCCTCTAAGGATGGTTTTCTTAGTGAGCTGGTCCTTAATCAAAAAGTAGTTGGGATGATATTCAATAAAAGCATGGTTTTCGGATGTAAGACGATGAACAGATGCAAGGCTTTTGTTAGCTTCAGGAACATAAAGAACATTGTTTAGGACGAGATTTTGATTTGGGGTACGAATAAAACTTCAACCAATTTGATTGATTCTCATACCTGTGCCATTAGCAGCATGAACCTTGTCGTTTCCATGGTACTTGTCCCTCACTGTGAGCTTCTCCAGCTCTCCCGTGATGTGGTCGGTAGCACCAGTGTCGGTGTACCAGTTGGTGTCGATCCCATATGACGCAATGGAGGCAGATCGTGATTGCTCTAGTGGGCCGGTGAAGGAAGTGTCAAAACGCTTGAAGCAGCGGAGTCCAGTGTGGCCCTCCTTGGCGCAGAGCTAGCAGATGGGTTTATCGCTGTTGTAGTTCTGCCAGGGGCGCCCGCTGTTGTTGTTGTTGCCACGGTTGCGGCCGTGCCCGTGTCCTCAGCCACCACCGCCGCGGTTGAAACCGCCACGTCCTCCACGTGTAGCCGTGTTAGCAGATGAACCGGATCCACCATGCAGGAGATCCATCCGTTGTTCCTAGCTCACTAGCTGAGTGTAGAGCTCGCCCAAAGATAGCGGCTCCGTGCGCGCCGCAACAACCGAGACAATCAGATTAAAATCCATGTCAAGTCCAGCTAGTACATAGGATATGATCTCTTCATCTTCAAGACGTTTGCCGGTGGACGCCATGTCGTCAGCAAGAGATTTCATCTTGTTGAAGAGCCCTTCTGCGTTGTGGCCAACGCCATGCGCGTGTTGATGATACGGCCCTGAGACTGGGAAGCCGTCATCTCTGAGATCACTTTCTAGATCTCGACCAATGTGGCGCAGTTGGAGACTTGCACCTGGATCTCCTTGGAGATATTGGAGAGCAGATAGTTAACGATCTGCTGGTCCTTCGCAACCTAAGTTTCATACTCAGGGTTGGGGATGAGCTCAGTCGGCTTGTCGGCCGCCTTGGGGATCTGCTTCGCCGGCACCACAATGTCGGGCTCGAGATAGTGCGCTATCTGCGCACCGCGAAGAGCAAACAACACCTAGGCTCTCCATAGGGGAAAATTCCCTTTGCCCAGCTTCTCGATGACGGGACAACCGATCAGAGAGAACGATTGTTGAAGCGCGGAGGAGGAAGCCATCGAGAATATTGTGGACTAACCTAGCTCTGATTACCATGTGAAAATGGTTGGAACGTGATGCCCTCTCAGGCTCACGGCTTCGTGTTAATATAGCCAGGAAGAGCCCCTGGCGTGGCAGTACAACTTGTACAACAAGAAGAAGCTAACTACTTTGGTAACTCTAGATTACATCACAAGATTACATCAATCAGGAGATACCTATCCTATCTAACCAAAACCGTGATACTTGCCTTCACCCGCAATCCAAGCCTGAGCGCACAACCAATCTTTAGGAGATATCAATCATATCAATCAACCAGATATTGTGGTCATGTGATCCTATTGGATATTCTTAACAGCCACCAGCCAGCACCCGTGCGCTGCCTCGGCCGGGGCTCCACGCCGTTGCAATGGAGGCAAGGAGGAGGGCAGGGGAGGTGAGGAGGAGGCCGGATCTACCGCCGGCCACCAGCCAGCACCTGTGCGCCGCCTCGGCTGGGGCTCCGCGCCGCCGCAGTGGAGGCGAGGAGGGCGTCGCGGTGTGGGGGGGAGGGAGGGAGCGAGCAGGTGGAGGCGGGGTGCGACCATGCGAGTGAGCGGCCCAAGGAGGAGAAAGGAGTCTGCGGCTTTTTGTACTTGCAGCGTTCATAGAGGTGGCTCATGATTGAGCCACCTCTACCAATCATAATACTGGAGGCGGCCGGTGAGTGAGCTGCCCCTACAAATCAGATCTATTTGTAGGAGCGGCTCGTATCACCAGCCACCTCTGCTATTCTATTTGTAGGGGCGGCTGGTCTCTAGGCTCCTGTAGGGTCGAGATGGCGACTAGAGAGAGGTGAATAGTTGTTACTAAAACTTAATCGCGTCGGCTAACCGAAACAAGTGCGGAATTTAAAATATCGGTCTAGCCAAGACTACACCCCTCTATCTATGTTCTCTAGCACCTTGCAAAGATCCTAATTAAGCAACAAAGGTGTTGGGCTAACTAGAGCTCACCTAACCAATTCTAGGAGAAAGGTCACACAAACCTATGCCACTAGTATTTCAAGCAATGAGGGAGCTCCTACACGTGCTAGTAAGTAAAAGCACAAAGCCAACTAAGCTCACTAGCAATGCTCAATAACAAGGCAACCAATGCCAAATTAGAGAGCGCAACTACTTAGCTACACAAACTAAGCAAAGTGACTAACAAGGTTACACAAACCAAATTAGCCACGCAAGGAAGCTACTTCTATGCTACACAAACAAGAAGGTAACTAGGGAGCTACACAAGCTAACTAATTACAAGAGCAACTACACAAGCACAATGTATATAAAAGTAATCACAAGCTTGTGTAACGAGTATGCAAACCAACGGGAAGAACAAGGTTGACACGGTGATTTTTCTCCCGAGGTTCACGTGTTTGCCAACACGCTAGTCCCCATTGTGTCGATCGCTCACTTGGTGGTTCGGTGGCTAATTGGCATCACCCGCCAAGCCCACACGTCGGGCACCGCAAGAACCTACCCCGAAAGTGAGGGTAGCTCAATGACACGCTCAACTAGAGTTGCTCTTCGCGGCTCCCGCGGGGCGAGCACAATGCCCCTCACAAAGCTCTTCTCAGGAGCACCGCACAAGCTTCTTGCGGGCTTCGACGGAGACCACCACCAAGCTGTCTAGGAGGTGGCAACCTCCAAGAGTAACAAGCACCACCGGCTTGCAACTCGATCACCTAATGCCACTCGATGCAACCTCACGATGCAATCGCACTAGAATCACTCTCTCACACAATCGGATGATCACTATCAAGCATATGTGAGATGGAGGACTCCCAAGCACTCTCAAGCATGGACACAAAGTCCCTCAAGGTGCTCAGCACCAGCCATGGCTGAGACACCCTTCTATTTATAGCCCTATGGGCTAAACTAGCTGTTACCCCTTCACTGGGCAAAACTCGGGACGACCGGACGCTCCGGTCGTATCGACCGGACGCAGGACCTCAGCGTCCGGTCAACGGATGATCGCCACGTGTTGCCTCCATTCAACCTCAGTCACTTGATCTCAACGGTCAAGTGATGACCGGACGCAGCTGCTCAAAGTGACCGGACGCAGCAACCCCAGCGTCCGGTCGTTTTCAGTAAGGTACCAGTCGCGACAGAACACGTTCGGTCGATCGCGATCGAACGTAGCATCAGCGTCCGGTCCTTCTCCACCTTCTCTGCATTGCCTACGTCACCGTACGACAGCCTAACCGGACGCACCCGGCCAGCGTCCGGTCACTTTTAGCGCCAGCGTCCGGTCGAAGACTGACGCCTTCACGCTCTCTGCCGCGACTGATCGGACGTAGGACCTCAGCGTCCGGTCACTGCGTGACTAGCGTCCAGTGCACTCTGTGAAACCCTGTCTTTTCTGTATAGGGAGCCTGTGGCACCGTCGGACTGTCCGTACTATACGAGCGGACACTCCACCGGTGAAGTTCGAACCCTTGTCGTCTCCATTTTATCACTGAGTTGATCCACATCAACTCCAACTTCATCTCCTTTGTAAATGTGCCAACACCACCAAGTGTACACCACCATGAGTATGTGTGTTAGCATTTTCACAATCATTTTTCAAAAGATTAGTCACTCAACTTGCCACGCCACTCAATCCTAGCGATGATGTAAAGTTAGATCACTCGAGTGGCATTAGATGACCGATATGTAAACAAGTTTGCCCCTCTTGATAGTACGGCCATCTATCCTAAACCCGGTCATAAAGCTCTCTACACACCTATGACCGTTGAAATGAAGTGCCCTAGGTTATACTTTTGCCTTGCGCATTCCATTCCATCTCCTCCAATGTCGATGCAACACATGCACCAACACGATCAACAATGATATGATCCACTTCATATCATCACGTGATCATATTGGTTCATCGATCTTGACTTCACTTGTTTTTCACCGTTGTCTTTGTCCATCGACGCCATGTCTTGCTTAAGCTTCACCGCCATGCGGTCCATCGCTCCAAAGCCTCCAACTTGCCTCTTACGCTTGCAACCGATCCATCAAGCCAAGTCATGTATTGATCTTCTCCACCTTTATCACATGACTCAATGTCATGTCTCATTTGCAATGAGCTCTTTCATCATCATATGTGTGAGCTTTGCAACATCTCCAAGCCATTTTCACCTTCATGCTATATGTTGCTCACACACGTGTACCTGTGGACTAATCACATGTGTATCTCATATAAACATAATTACTCCACCTAGGGTTGTCACTCAATTACCAAAACCACACAAGGACCTTTCAGCTCCCGAGCACGCCACTGTAGGGGCGGCTCCATCATCAGCCGCCCCTACAAAAAATTTATCCCGTTGCTATAAACCATTTTTTATGTAGTGGATCAATCATTTGAAAGTTACCAAGAACTGCGTTATACTCAACCAAATCTTCATATTATGTATCTATACTTGTAGCGCACTAAAAACAGTCTTAGCATCGATCCGTGGCAAATCTTAGAGACAATTCCTTATGTGACATTAAAAATGATCGTAATGTTCTGTGTGCCCCTAAAAAAGTTCAGCGGTCTTCAGCGCCACTACTCTAACTTTTTCGTGTCCTCCATGCCACTTTCGTCAGTTTGGACTCTAACGCCGTCAAACTGCAGGTGTAAAATGATGAAAATACCCTTAAGTCTAAATATGTTATTAATTTTTTTAAGCATCTTAACGACTTCAAATAAAAAAACTCAAAACTAGAAAGTTGTAGATCTCGTCGAGATCTATAATTTTCATATAAAAATTATTTTCATTTAATTCCGCAAAAAATGATTTTTCTAAGATATATTAATCATATCAAATCATTTTTTGTGAAATTAAATAAAAATAAATTTTATATGAAAATTATAGATCTCGTCGAGATCTACAACTTTATAGTTTTGAGTTTTTTCATTTGAAGTCATTAAGATGCTAAAAAAATTAATAACATATTTAGACTTAAGAGTATTTTCGTCTTTTCACACTTGCAGTTTGACGGTGTTAGAGCCTAAACTGACGGAAGTGACATGGAGGACACGAAAAAATTAGAGTAGTGGCGGTGAAGACCGCTGAACTTTTTCAGAGACATATAGGGCATTGCGATCTTTTTTAATGGCACAAGGAATTCCCCCGAAGCTTAGCTGGATGTCATGCATATATTACGTTTGGCACCATGCTTACATCCTTTGACACGGGCTGGTGCCAACTCCCATGGTCTCTACTTGTCAGTTGGCACCAATCGATGTACATGCTGATGAGGCCCCCCAAGAACTAGGTGTGCTTTTATTTACGGGTAACCACTCCATTCTAGAATACGTGTACATCTTGTATTTTTCAGAGTCAACTAAATTTATTTTTATCTAAATTTATAGCTAATAATAGTATCAATATTTTATATATCTAAATAATTTTACTATATGAAAATATACAATGTGATTAAGTTAATAATGCTTATTTCGCATCACAAACATTAATATTTTCTTGTATACATTTGTTTAAATTTTAAGATTTATTGACCCCTCGAATATGAGATGTGGAGTGATCAGTAACTAAAAACACCACGCATTTATCGAAGCAAAGCCAGGATCAGAAACCTACGAGAGATTTTCGTCGTGGCGGTTGTGCAAAGTGCGTTGCCAATCCCCCAACTTGGAGAAGATCGAGTCTTGCCGTAACGAAAACTAAACAATTCCGTGAACTCCACCTAACATGTTACCATGTTCCGCACGCGTCCATCGCGAGAGACAAAGATAAATACACATATTAGTACATATCAAAAACCAACTGAGCGTTAAGCTAAACCATCATCCCCCCTCTTCCAGTTCCACCATCAGCCGGCGGCCCGTGGCCATCCAGCAAGAGATCGATCCATCTGCTCTGCCGCTGCCGCCATGGCTGACAAGATCAAGACGGTCATGGCTGACAAGATCAAGACGGTGGTGGTGCTGGTCCAGGAGAACCGCTCCTTCGACCACATGCTAGGGTGGATGAAGTCCCTCAACCCCGAGATCGACGGCGTGACGGGCGCGGAGGTCAACTACTCCGTCGCCGGCGACGCCACCTCCACCCCCGTCCACTTCGGGAACGCCTCGCAGTACGTGGACCCGGACCCAGGCCACTCGTTCATGGCCATCTACGAGCAAATCTACGGCGACCCCTTCACCTGGGGCAGCACCTCGCCGGCGACCAAGCCGGGGGTGACGGTCCCGCCCATGAGCGGGTTCGCGCAGCAGGCGGAGACGGAGAAGCCCGGGACGCCCCACGCCGTCATGAACGGGTTCCGGCCCGACGCCGTCCCGGTGTACCGCGAGCTCGTCCGGGAGTTCGCCGTGTGCGACCGCTGGTTCGCGTCCGTGCCCACGTCCACGCAGCCCAACCGGATGTTCGTGCACTCGGCGACGTCGCATGGACTCGTCGGCAACGACAAGAAGTTGCTCCGTGAAGGGATGCCCCAGCGCACCATCTTCGATGCCCTCCATGACGCCGGACACTCCTTCGGCATATACTACCAGTTCCCGCCCGCCGTCCTCCTCTACAGGTCAGTACACGATGACAGTGACCTTTTCATATATAGTTTTGTTTAGGCTGTGTTTAGTCTGCGAAACGAAAATTTTTGGATGTCATATCGGATGTTTTGGGATGTTGGAAGGGATTTTTGGATACTAATAAAAAAACTCTGTAAACTACGAGACGAATTTATTAAACCTAATTAATCCATCATTAGCGCATGTTAGTTACTGTAGCACTTATGGCTAATCATGGACTAATTAGTCTTAAAACATTCGTCTCACCATTTCCAACCAAACCATGCAATTAATTTTTTTTCGTATATATTTAATACTCTATGCATGTGCCGTAAAATTCGATGTTATAGTTTGGAGTGAAAATTTTTGAGAACTAGACCAGACCTTAATGATCGTCGATGGCGACATTCAAATTTTGCGACACGATCTATGCAAAGTTTGGGAACCTTTGCTCTCGATAACTCAGTAGGTAGGGAAATTGTCACCAATCTGCCACTGTCATAGCATGTCACTGTCAAATTAAGATACTAAGCTTTAAGCATGTCACTGTCATAGCATCATTATGCATTTTGCCCAGTGTAGATCAATGGGATGAGGATGGCTACTGAAGGTCGAAGACTTGACATGTTCAATTAGTCATCTGACCTAGTAAACACAGGCTACACATGGTACAGTACGTACCCACTCAGAAAAAGAGTACAAAAGAGTCAAGTCGTTGTGCCTTATTTAAGAGCACACAAAATTCAGGGATTAGTTGGATTCGAAGTAGAGGCAGGTTTTTTTTTTTTTTGCTATAATGTTGATAGCTTAATTAATCGGTACTTGTTATATGCTAACAGCGCGTATATGCTGTTGGTTTAAGACAGATATATATTATATTAAGCAGCGGCAAGTCGTTGACTTTAGATGGATATTCTCATGATCGATCCGGTCCAAACAATGGCCAGGTCATAATCGCTTGATCAGTACAAACACTTGTATTCTATTGCCGTAGATATTTTTTAAATTGAAACAGCAATGTGCAGTAAACAGCTAGCCTGGGTTTTTATTATTTGTTTTTGCTCAGTTTCCTGACTCATCATTGGACGCATCTACGACATAACACATGCACAATAGCATCGTCGTCTAGCATTGTGTGATCTGTGCAAGACAGGAAAATATTGAAAACAATAGTTAGCCTCGTTTGATATTATTTGGCTTATAAGCCATGGCTTATCAGCCAACGAATAGTATTTTTTTCTCACACCAAATCAACCAACAGTACTTTCAGCCATGGCTTATAAGTCAAACCAGCCCAAACAAACAGGGCGACGGTAGGGGGTGCTACTAGCTAATTAATTAATTTTACACACATCCTGCATGTTGGATGTCTTTTTGTGCACAAGCCAGCCGTGCAACTTTTTTTTTCAATTCACTCCAGTTCACTTGTTAAGCTCCTGTATATTAAGACCGTGTTTAGATTCAGCGTGTAAAATTTTGGAATGTTACATCAAATATTACAGGGGTGTCGCATGAGGTGTTTGAATACTAATAAAAAAATAAATTACAGAATCCGCCAGTAAAACGCGAGACGAAATTATTAAGCTTAATTAATCCGTCATTAGCACATGTGTACTGTAGCCCTTTGTTGTTAAATTTTGGACTAATTAAGCTTAAAAGATTCGTCTCACAAATTAGTCGCAAACTGTGCAATTAGTTATTTTTAGTCTATATTTAATACTCCATGCATGTGTCCAAACATTCGATGTGATAGGGTGTAAAGTTTTAGAGTGGAAACTAAACAAGGGCCGAGTGTTAGAGCATGTTTGGTACTGCTCTGGTTCGAGCTCCAACGGCAGCTTTGGCAGATGAGCCCAAGCATCCATACCAAACATTTTAAGAAGAGTCACTTTTTTGGTGCATACAAGAGGAGCCAGAGGCTGTTTTGGTAGAAGCCGGAGGTGCAATTTGTGACTCCTTCCACTCAGCTCCTCCTCCGTGCCAAACAGGCACTTAGATAGCTCAAATCCCATGAATATACTACCTCCGTCCAATAAAATGACCTGGTAGGTTTATTATTAGTCGAAGTCAAACCGTTGTAAGTTTGACAAAGTTCACAAAAATATATATGTTACTATAAAATTATATTACATGACAAATTGAATAGTCCTAACTTGGTATCATAAATATTTATATTTTTTTATATAAAAACTGAGCCAAACTTACAATAGTTTGACTTTGCTAAAACCTATTACGGTCATTATTTTTGGAACGTAGTACAGAGGTAGTGTTACATATAAAATTATTCCATTTCTTGTTTTTTGTAATGGTAATATAATTAATTATTGATATATCAACAATAGTATTCCTTTATAACACTGTACCTCAAGTGTTTCATGGACATAATTTGCCACTATTTATTAGACCACCCGGGAAGATTGAGATTTTGATTATTATACAACAAAACTAAACAATAATGTTATATGCTATTTTAAAGAAAGATGCCAAATGTATGTACTAGTAACTATCGCGTGTCAATCATGGTTTTTTTTCATATAAAAGATGAGCGAGAATTATTCATTTATTCTCGAAGGACAGAGTAATTTTACATGCATTATATTAACTTTTGTTGTGTTGGTACGTGCTACATTTTGTACGCATACGCAGGAACATGCGGCAGCTCAAGTACATCGGCAAGTTCCACGAGTACGAGCTGCACTTCAAGCGGCACTGCAGGGAGGGCAAGCTCCCCAACTACGTGGTGATCGAGCAGCGGTACCTGGACTGGAAGCTGCTCCCGGGCAACGACGACCACCCCTCGCACGACGTCGCCCACGGCCAGCGCCTCGTCAAGGAGGTCTACGAGGCGCTGCGGTCCAGCCCGCAGTGGAACGAGATCCTCTTCGTCATCATCTACGACGAGCACGGCGGGTTCTTCGACCACGTGCCCACCCCGATCGAGGGCGTCCCCAGCCCCGACGGCATCGTCAGCGCCGCCCCCATCAACTTCACCTTCGACCGCCTCGGCGTCCGCGTCCCGGCCATGTTCATCTCCCCATGGATCGAGCCGGGCACAGGTATGGCCGTATGAGTACACGATCGACGACGACGCTTACTGATCACTGACGAGCAACTTGTGACACGGAACATGCGTGCTTCGTTCTGCATGCAGTGATTCACCGGCCGTCGGGACCGGAGCCGACGTCGCAGTACGAGCACTCGTCCATCCCGGCGACGGTGAAGAAGATCTTCAACCTCAAGGAGTTCCTGACCAAGCGCGACGCCTGGGCCGGCACCTTCGAGAACGTGCTCACGCGAGCCACGCCGAGAACCGACTGCCCAGGTATGCATGCGGCGACCTGCGACGATAGGCCGCGGTGTCTGATACACTGAATCTCTGATAACCGATGATGCATCCAATTGCAGAAACGCTGCCGGAGCCGGTGCGGCTGCGGGAGGCGGAGGCGGAGGAGGACCAGCACCGGGAGGTGTCGGAGTTCCAGGCGGAGCTGGTGCAGCTGGGCGCCGCGCTGAACGGTGACCACGCCACGGAGGCCTACGAGAGCGACGAGCTCGTCAAGGGGATGACCGTCGCGGAAGCCTCCGAGTACTGCCGGAGCGCGTTCACTCGGTTCCGGGAGGAGTGCCAGCGGTGCCACGACGGCGGCATGGACGAGTCCCACGTCCCGGAGCTCCAGCCGCCGATGGCGACAGCGACGGTGGTATCCTCTGCGTCGAAGCTGTGCGGCTGCCTCCCCTGCTTCAGCGCGTAGGGATGCATGCTTTGTCACGTTATCGATGGGCTCTGATGCTTGCCTTGTAAGTCGATCTGCGTACGTTTATCTGATCTCTTTGCGTGACTTGTTTTGCTCTTTTGTCTGATGTTTCGTAAAGGAAAGATTGGTTTTGTAGTACGTGTGGTGTTCGTTCAATTGTTCGTGGTTTCGCACTATTAAGTGATCAATAAGAAAGGACTGCTGATATGAACATTTGTTGGCGTACTGGAAGATATGGAAAGAGATACCAAGTGAGTAACAACTTATATTGCACTAATTAAAGCTAAAACTACGGGTTCATCGACCCGTGCTCATGCACGCGCTAGAATCTTAGAAGAATTAGTATAAGAACTTCGTGTTTAATTCCTATGACTAACAACTATTACTTGCCTCTGTGCTATCTTCCTTTATTTATCTTCAAACCCAATACACAAGCTGATCTCTGTAATGTAATGGCCATGTTCGCTTCTCTTATAATCCGTCTTTTTCAGCTTGTTTTTTAAGCCTAAACAGTATTTTTCTCTCACAACAAATCAGCCGGAACAGTGTTTCGGCTTGTTTTTTCAGCGAAGCGAACGGGGCCAAATATCTACTGTGCTAAACTTATAGATTATTCTACATGTTTCGGTGAGGAATGGAAAAAAAATGTTTCGGTGAGGAATGGAAAAAATTGGAAGAGTCAGGAGAATTTGGAGATAGAATTTGAGGAGGAAGGAATTCTGTTGTAGTCTGTTCATAGGAACGAACTAACAAACCGGTTCAGTTACAGCTTGATTCCAAAGTGTTACAGACATGCACGGTTGCATGGGCCAACAGGCCGACCAAAGGCCACACATGGGCTGGGCCTTTGTACAGAATGTCTTCACGTCCGAACATGAATACCTCTCTGGTTCCCGCTCACTTCCTCTTGAGGTTATGGCCAGCCTTGGTTGTGAATTTTCCTTTTCTATAGTTTTTATCCCTTCTCATGACACAGTGACGCGTCTATATAATATATAACATTTAGTTCAAACATTTGATTAAACTAATGTCTACGTATTATTGTAACTCATGTCTCATGAAGCTAGGAATATATATTTTCAAAATTAAAATTTTATTTTATTAGTTGCTAAAGAAATTATCCTCAACCTTAGTTTTAAACTCATGTGTTTACAATAACTCTTAATTAAAAATAGGATTTCAGACCGTACTTCCTCAGTCCTAAAATATAGTGCATTGTGACTGCTTACTATCACAGGTTTGTGTGTCTGTGATCGGCGAGGGATGTGGGTGTGTGCAAGACTTCATGTTTTATTGTCACTGATGATGATGTACTGTGTCTTCTTTGTGTGTTTCTGTCATATAAGGAAATTGACTGCTCCACCGCTCCTCGCTGCTTAAAACCTGGACAAAGTCCGACTCAAACCAAAAACTAAAACGAGAGAATTCACGGGACGCATTTACCATGCACGGATGCATGTTGCATTAGGGTCTGTTTGGATGTTGCTGAAATATATATATACAGTGTAAATTGTTGTGCACAACAAAACCAGGCAATAACTATCCACTTGTAAAATGCTACTTGGAAGCACAGTATCAGAGAGTGTAATTGCTGCACAACAAAACTAGACAATAACCAATCTTTGTAGTGCTAGCTAGCTCATCTCTGAAAATGCCATATCCTGAGGTCTGTCTCCAATTAAGCTGCAGTGTTGATCGATCTCTACTACCACTACCAGTTGGCCAATGATCTACAGCATGTTCGTTTCAGCTGGATTGGCTTATAAGCCATGAGCTGAAAGTACTGCTGACTGGTTTGGTGTGAGAGGAAAACACTGTTGGCTACCTGATAAGCCAAGCCAGATACAGGCAGTTACAGGCTGCCGAACAGGCTACTAGCGGCCTAGGTCACCCATGATTCATCCAGCAGCCAAAGGTTATCTGACCAGAAGAGATGGGATCGAGAGTGCAGGATACCTGTGTTAGTTGATCTCCACCAATAGGAGCCTTTGCCTCTGCTCCCTGATCGGGGAGCCCAACCCTAACTGGTTGGTGAGCCCCTGTCGCACAGCACATACAAATAGAGAAGGTGGGGATCGGGGCTCGTTTCACGAGGTTGAATGGAGCCACCACCCACCTACAGAGAAAACCCTAATCCGATCCTAAAGCGTGCTGCCAGGGACGGGATGAGCCCGCCACCACCGCCGTCGCCCCACTGTAGGGTCACCACCGGACCGCCGTCTCTCCACTGCGCTGGACGTCATCTACACCGTTACAACGGCGTCTACCCACTGCGGTGCTACTGTCCTAGGGCGAGTGGAGAAGCCCTAAAGGAGAGGACTACCCCGATCTACGGTTACATACAGAGAGGTACACATCTATGATTCTAACAATGGTACCAGAGCCAGGTTGCCTCTGTGTGACCCTAACCCTAACCGGGTAAAAGCAAAGAAAAGAGTGACCGGGGTGGCGGACATCACTGTCTACCGGTCATCACCGCCACCGTGTGTGGGGGAAAGAAGACGCACCGTTCGACGGCGCACGGCAAAAGTAAAGAAACGAACAGATCCAGTTCGGATCTAAGGAAAGAAGAAGAGTGGGTTCGGATTTGGCCGAACCCTAAGACCTAACCCTAACTCGCATGGAGAAAGGGAAAAGGGTAAAGCCATTCGGATGAAATCCGAAAAGAAAAGAAATCAAAGAAAAGAAAAAACCAAAGAAAGAAGAAGAACAGGGGTCGGAACCGAACCCTAACCCTAGATCCCTTTTTTCGGGTGAACAAGCGAAAAGAAAAGAACAAAGAAAAGGGGTCGGCCCAAACCCTAACCCTAGAATGATTCCCCATCCCAAACCGGTCGAATCAAAAGAAAGAAAAGGAATCAAAGAAACCCTAACCCTAACCCTAATCCCCACCTTCGGTTCGAAAAAAAACAGAGAACAATCCAAATCGGAGAAAGAGAAAGGGAAAGGGGAAGGGATAAACCTCGCCGTGCGTCGGGATGGCCCTTCGCCGGCGCGGGAGAAGAAGGGCCGAGCCGGGGGCGGGATGTTCGCCGGGCTTGGTCAAGAGGGCGCCGCGGCCAGGCCGCTCGATGGCGGCATGCTCACCCGTCGGGGAGCACGCGCGCACCGGCGAGGGGGCCGGCGACGGCGCCATGCCTCGCTCCACCGTCCGCTCGCTCGCCGTCTTGCTCTCGGTGGCTGTTGTCCTTGCGCTGAGAAAGAACTGCGCGAGAGAAAGAAAGAGAGAGAGCAAAGAGAGAGAGAGAGCAGAGGATCAAATGACCTAGGGTTTTCGGGACTCACAGCCGCGGCGGGTTTTTGACCTCCCGAAACGCGCGGGCGAGCCGTCAATCAGATCGAACGGCCACAAATGATCGGGCCGACTCGCAGCCTAGGCGGGAGCGCACTTTGCCGGCCCAGGCCTAGGTTGCGGCCTGGGTGCGGCCTGCGCGCGCGGGGTGAGCTGGGCCGAGCTGACTTTTGCTGTTTTGGGCCGCCGAGAGTAAAGAATGAGCCCGTTTCGCATTTTTCTTTTTCCTGGAAAATTGAAAATGCAAATTGGCTCAAAAGAAAAATAGAAAAAGTAATTTTTCCCTGTGGGTAAAATTCCAGAAATTGAGCATACGTTTTCCGCTGCTAAAGAAAAAGTATATTCTCCAGTGATTTTGAACCGACATGATATTTAACTGGAGAAAAGAAAAGTTTTTCCAGTAAATGTTTATTTCCTGGAAATTGATTAATGGATTAAAGGAAATAGAAAATACAATTTTCCCTGTGGGTAAAATTCAAGAAAAGGAGAAGTTTTTCCACAGCTAGAGAAATTGTTTATTCTCTAGTTAATTTGTACCAACGTGGTATTTAATTGGAGAAAAAGAGATTTTTTCCGCTGCTAAAGAAAATGTTGATTCTCCAGTTATTTTGAATCAATGTGGTATTTAATTGGAGAAAAAGAGTTTAGATATGATTATGATATTGTTTTCTGACCAACGTTGTTAATAGCAATATCGTAATGTTAATGATTTATGCATTAATTCCACTTCTGCCCAACGGTGATGTAGAATTAGTGTATAAGAACAGATGTTAATTTTAATGATTTATGCATTAATTCTACTTCTGCCCAACGGTGATATAGAATTAGTGTGTAAGAACAGTTGTGAAAGTTAAAGATTTATGCATTAATTCTATTTCTACCCAACGGTGATGTAGAATTAGTGTATAAGAATAATTGTATGTTTTGATTTTGACCAACGTTGGAATCAAGGCATGCAAATGATGTTTTTTTGTTAAGAAAAAATTTGACCTGGTTTTCATCTTGTCTAAGGTGGACTGGGTAGTCACCTCACCATGTTCCACTGAGATTGTGGCACCGGTGAGAGAGACAAAAGAGAATGATGCCACTTGGGCAACTAAAGAAAGGGATTTTGAATCCCAAAAGATATCCTATGGCTTTTGAGCATAGGAAGTGGGTCACTGCAAATAAGAAATATTTGGCGGTGATAAAGAACATGATTGAACCTGCAATTGTGGGCTCAATCTCAGAATGTGACACGGTCACCGAATACCTTGATAGAATAAAGAGTCAGTTCACTGGCTCTTCAAAGACATATACCACTTAGTTGATAAAGCAGTTGGTCACAGAGTGTTACTTTGGAAATGGTGGCATAATAGAGCTCACGATGCGTTGTCGAAATTATGGCACTGTCGTTTAGGCCATATTTCGAGGGAGAAAATAGAAAGACAAGTTAAGAATGATATTCTTCCTCCATTAGAGCTCTCAGATTAAGAACAATGCAGGGAATGCATAAAAGAAAGTATGTAAAGAAGATTAAGAAAAATGACAAACGAAGCGCAGGAATTTTACAGATTATTCACACAGACATCTGTGGTCAACTTTCCTGTAAAGAGTGTGGATGGTTATGATTCGTTCATAACATTCACAGATGATTACTTCCATTATGGCTATATTTATCCAATCAAAGAAAGAAAAGATATATTGGATAAATTTAAGATATTAA